TACTTAATAGCATTTTTTTTTCAATTACCTTTAAAGATAGTTTTCAACGTTTACTTCTATTAGATTTTGAGCTCCAAATTTTCCTCCTTCCCAACACAGGAAGCAATCTGATATGGGTTATACATGTACAATTATATTAATCATATTTCCACATTAGTCGTGTTGCGAAAGAAGAATCAGAACAAAGGGAAAAACCACGATAAAGGGGAAAAAAAAGAGAAAATAGTCTGCTTTGATCTGCATTCAGACTCCATAGTTCTTCCTCTGGATGTGGATAGCATCTTCCACTATGAGTCTTTTGGAATTGCCTTGGATCTTTGTATCGTTGAGAAGAGCTACATCTATTATAGTTGATTGTTGAACAATGTTGCTATTAGTGTATACAATATTCTTCTGGTTCTGCTCACTTCACTCAGCATCAGTTCATGTAAGTCTTTCCAGGTTTTTCTGAAATCTGGCTGCTCATTATTTTTTATGGCACAATTGTATTCTATTACATTCATAGGCAGCAGCTTGTTCAGCCATTCCCCAACTGCTGGGCATCCCCTCAATTTCCAATTCTTTGCCACCATAAAAAGAGCTGCTATAAATATTTTTGTACATTAAGTTGAACGATTTTGAAGGAAGGTCTAAGGTCAAATACAAATTCCTCTGTCTGGCATTTAAGGCCTTTACAACTAGTCTACAACCTTATACCTCCATCAACTGACAGCATCTCCCTTGGGGAAGGGTAGAGGGAAGAGATGCTCAAGATGTCTGCTCTTGCTTCCTTTAAGCCCCATTGCAAACAGCTCTTGCTACTTACATTGATTGTATTTCTTTGTGAACCTCTTGTATCCCATTCCCAAGACCAAAAACTGCTTTGAGGGCTGAGATTGTCTCCCTTCCTTCTTTGAATTTCAGGGCCTAGCATTAGCCCTTTGATGCAAAGGCTCTAGTTAAACTTGTCGAAGGTAGGGATCTTGGTTTATTTGTTTGTTATTGGTGTTGGCATCTCCAAGGGGAGCTCAGTGCCCGGCACACGATAAGGGCTCAGCAAATGCTTGTGGATTGATTTCTCAACATCTAGGCCCAAAGTAGATGCTTACTGGTTGTGGTGCTGTAACTCCTTCCCTGATAGAAGATACATCAGCTCGCAGCCTTTGGGCATGGTAGCATAGACTCCACTAAAATCCTGCCCCGAGCAAGTCACTTAACCTCTTTCTGCCTCAGTTTTTTCATCTGTAAAATGGGGCTAATCAGATTGCATGCCCGCTCAGGAAGGGGGAAGGAGGGAGGAGGAGAAAATTTAGAACTCAAAATCTTGTAGAAGTGAATGTTGAAAACTAAAAGTAATAAATAAATTGTAAAAAGATAAAATGGGGATACTAACAGCATATACCTCCCAGGGTGGTTGTGACAATCAAATGAGATATTTATAAAGGGTCTTGCAAAGCGCTATATAAATGCTAGCAACTATTAATCATTCTCTGCAAAACATAATAGCACCTGCCTTCCTGGGAGGGTTGAGGTTATAAATGTGAACAACGTTTAAATATATTTAACAGGAGATATGAATGCCGGTCATTATCTCCATTTTGTAGCATCAGACAGTGGAAGGTGCATCCCATAGCTGCCTCGTACTGTGGGGCTGTTCCTCTGCCCAAAGTTCCCAAAGCAGGGATTCTTAATCTTTTTGTGTTAGAGATCCCTTTGCATGTCTGGTGAAACCTGGTGAAACCTAGGGACCCCTTCTCAGAATAATAAATACATATAAATAATAATAATAATAATAATAATAATAAAACACATAGGATATGTTCAATTATATTGAAACACTAAGGTATTTTTCCCCTCAATCAATGCATCCATGGAGCCCAGTGAAGAAGCCCTGTCCAAAGGGAAGTTGTTATTCAGTCGTGTTTGACTCTTTGTGATTCCATTTTCTTTTTCACTTCACAGTATTTTATTTTTTCCAATTATATGCAAAGATGGTTTTCAACATTCAATTTTTTTTTAGGCAATTGGGGTTAAGTGACTTGCCTAGGGTCACACAGCTAGTAAATGTCTCAAGTGTTTGGTCTGAGGATTTGAACTCAGGTCCTCCTGACTTTAGGGCCGGTGCTCTATCCACTGTGCCACCTAGCCGCCCCAACATTCACTTTTATAAGATTTTGAGTTCCAAATTTCATTTGGCGGTTTCTTGGCAGAGATACTGGAATGGCTTGCCATTTCCTCCTCCAGTCCATCTTACAGATGAGGAAACTGAGGCAAACCCAGTTAAGTGACTTGCCCAGGGTCACACAGCTGGGAAGTGTCTACGGTCACATTTGAAATCAGGTCTTCCTGACTCCAGGCCTGGCACTCTATTCACTGTGCTTCCTGGCTGCACCTACCACCTACTTGTACCTCCCAAAGGAAAGACTTGAATTCCCATAGGCTGGCCAGGGTACAAGGGAGGTCCTGCAGATCGGGCGTTCAGGGCCCTCTTCTGCTAGACTTGAGGAACCCTGGGGTTACCTCCCATTTTGCTGTCTCCCTGCTCCCAGTACCCTGGGGCTGGCCAGTGGGGACTGTGGAATAACCAGCAGACAAGGAGAGAAGAGGGGAGATCGCAGAGGAAGCGGGAGCCGGCAGAGTTAGTTAGCTTGGCTCTCCAGCTCGAGTGCGCGGAGGCGCCGAGGGGGCACTGGCAGCCGGGGGCGTTGGGAAGAGGTGCTAGCAGGGGTGCCAAAAAGGGCAGAGGCCCTGGGCGTGCAGCCACCGCTGCCGGCCCGGGGATGTTAGGAGGCGCTGCTGGGCTGCAGCTGCGGTCGCAGCCGCTGCAGCCGGAGAGGCTCCGCTCCCGCTCCAACATCCGCTCCCACTCGCTGAGGGGTGTGACCGAGCCACCCCCAAGACGCAGCCCTTTAAAGGGCCAGGCCTCGAAGGGCCTGCGGGCTGCGGCCGTCCTCCCGTGCCACAAGTTCATGTCGAGTTGGGTGGTCTATTTTTGAAACACACTTTCCAGGAGAAATGGGGTGATACCTAGAGGTGAGGCTCAAAGGCAGCCGGCCCCCCCGCAAGATTCACCTCTCAGGCCCCCAGCACCTCATGGCGTTCCACGCCTTGTGCTCTAGAACCCGGCTGCGGCGTGCAACAATGTTTCTAAGGGCCTTGGGGCTCCGAGTTCCAGCTGGGGTTCATTGTAGGAACGCGGCTCCCTCCACTGCAGCCCTGGCAGCAAGAACCAGATCCTGCCGCCCCCCAGCTCCACAGCACTGGTGGTGGCTCCCATGATTTGGGGCAGGGTTCTAGCGGGGCAAGAGCGAGGGCTGGCCCGGGGGTTGCTGGGGGGCTGGGCCTGAGGAACGACTGGAGAAACTAGGGTAGAGGTTCTGGGATGGGGAACCTGGAATTGGGCCTGCAGTGCTGTGGTGGTGGTGGTATGGGGCGGGACGTGAGGAAGTGAGGAAGGGAAGGTGGAGGGGGCTTACTGGGGGCGGGGATATGGGGGTTCTTGGGCTGGTAGTACCCAGGGCAGTGAGAAGACAGAAAAGTTTACCTCCCTCTTCTTGCCTCTCACCCTGTAGGGGCCTGTCCCACAGCCGTGAGGCTGAAGGTGCTGCAGAAAGCGACCCCGTCAGATCACTACCCTCCCAACCTGTCCTGGCACAGCAACAGAATCGAATCCTCCTACCTGGTCCTGACGTTAGGGTGAGGAGTGGTTTGGGGGCGGGGCTCTACCGCGCCCAATGGGAGGGAGGAATGATATTGACCCACTCTACTGGCGGGGGATGAGAACGACCAAACCAGTTTAGCTTAGAGGCGAGGAGGGGGCGGGGAGGGGAAAGGAGCGAAATTGACAAAAGCAGGTAGGAATAAAGGGGAGGGGAAGGGAAGAGGAAAGGAAGGGAAAAGGCGAGGGGGGGGAGGTGGCATCTAAACTGACAAAGCTAGTTGATCTTAAGGGTCAGTGAAATGGACTTGGGAGTCTGGAAAATTCGGGTTCGAATCTGGCCTCTGACGCTTACTACCTGTGTGACCATGAGCATATCACTTAACATCTCAGAACTCAGCTTCCTACTCTGTAAACTGAGAGATTTGTCCCTTCCAAGCTCTAAATCTATGACAAGGACGGGGTCTTGCTTCAGGAGGCATGGGGGGGGGGAGGCAGTGCTTCCCGGCGGGCAAGGGGGCTGGGGCGGCCAGAGCCTGGGGCTCCGCACGGACTGCACTAGCTCGCCACCCCTCGGACAGCTAATCAGCCACCGAGGTGTTTTCTTAAGGTTTTTTTCTTTTTTTAAACCTCATTCCCTCCCACCCCCATCCTCATCCCTAAGTCGGAGAGTTGGGGCTCCGCCCTCTCCCCTTCCCCCCTATCGGGAGAGGGGCCCGGCTGGCGGACAAGTGCCCCGGATCAATCACAGCCTGGAGGTGGGAGCGCCGCCCCCCTCCCGCCTACCCGCCGCCGCCGCCGCCGCCGCCTCCACTGGAGATCCGACTCCTGGGCGAGTTCCCACGGCCGGTGGGCAGCGGGCGGGGACGGCGGCGGGGAGGGGCCACGGGAGGGCTCGAGGAGGCGCTGCTTACTTAACGCTGCCCACGTGCGAGAACTGGGTGGGAAGAGAGGAGGGACCCCCAGCACACACACATACACTGGGCTAGACGGCCGGAGGCAGAGCTAGAGAAATCGAAGGGAACCGGAGGGGTGCGTGGGGCTGGCTGGCCCGGGGCAGGGCTCGTGCGTGCATCCCTCCTGGGGCTTGGGGCGTAGTGCTCTGGGATTCCCAAGCGCTGATCCGTCACTCCGGGAGTGTTGGGGGGTGGGAGCAGAGGGGCTGAGTTGAGCCGCCTTCTGACCCGGCGGGGCTCAGCGTTCCCTCCCACCCCACCCCACCCCGGCGCAGGAGGGCCAGGGAATGAAGCCAGGCTGGACTGGGGCGGCGTGGCGTGGCGTGTGGCGTTGCGGGCAGCTGGGGGCTGCGTGTGCCAGCTGCGGGGTTGGGGAGGGGTAAGCTCCAAGTCTCCTCTCTTTGCAGGGGCAGCGACGCGGCCGGCCATCGGAGGGGGACGGGGGCGGGGAAGAGAAGAGTTCTGGGCTTTTCCATCCGTCCCGGTTCTCGCGGGGCGGCTGTCGCCTCCCCTTTCGCCCCCTTCCCGAGAGGTGATGGCTTCCAAAGTCCTTCGGGCCATCATCCTGGGCCCCCCGGGCTCAGGCAAAGGGACCGTGTGCCAGAGGATCGCCGACAGTTTTGGGCTCCAGCATCTCTCCAGCGGCCACTTCCTTCGGGAGAACATCCGGACAGACACGGGTGAGTAGAGAAGGAGCCAGAGCTGGCCTGTGTATGTGTGTGTCTGCGTGTTTGTGCGCGCGCGCGTGTGATTGAAAGAGAAAATGACCCTTACTATTGCTATCCTCCCGCTCCCCTCCCGCCTCCTTCGTTCCCTTTCTACGTGCCGGGGCGCATGCAACCAACCAGCGTCCAGCCTGCCAGACAGGCAAGGCTGCGGATTAACCGTGCCCCACTTGGGGCTGGGAAAACGGGGAGGAGTCACTGGGGAGGGCTGCTGGAGACCGGGGAAGAGCACGGTGTGCAGGGATGGAAGCTTCTGGCTGAATATCTTTTTTCATTCCCCCTTGCTCTGTGTGTGTGTGTGTGTGGGGGGCATCGCCTCTGGTCCAGCCCAGACGCTAATCCTGCTCCTCTTGAAAAAACCCACAAATCTCAGCTGACGCTTTTTCTCTGACCTCAGAAAAGAAGGCAGCTAGCCTCAGCTGGCTGCTGAACGCTGCCCTCTCCTTCAGTCAAAAGCCCTTTTTTTCTCCATCCTCTAAAAGGATCCCAACTCTCCCGAACCTGAGAGGCGGCCAGGAACTTAGAAATTCACCCCCTGCCTCTAAGACATGCTGGCTGTGTGACCCTGTATGTGCCAGTCACTTAACCTCGAAATGCCCCGGCAACTTCTCAGATCGTACGAATGGTTGATTGGCTATTGCCTAAAGTCTACAGAAAACGTGGCCCCTAAATGTGTGAATTTGGGTCAGTCGAAGCAGTCGGTCAGCATTTACTGAACCTTATCATTTGAACCTCAGTTTCTTCATCCATAAAATGGAGGGTTTGGACTCTTGTGAGGTCCTTTTTAGCTCTGAATCTCAGATCCTGTCCCATCCATATTCTGTGCCTGGAGGCAGAAGCTGAGCTGTGCCCCTGCTAACTGAGGGGAGAAGCTTGCCTCCTTATCAGGCCGGTGTTGGAGCACGTGGAAGGAGGGCTCAGTGACTCTTCTCTCCAAGTTAATTCTTGGGATCCCTCTGTTTCCGAAAGGCCTTTTTTGTTTGTTTTTGTTCAATGTTACCTCTAAGGTGTTACCTTCAGAAAGAAATAAATAAATTATGGAAAGTTCTAAGCTTGGGGTTGGGCTTTTAAAAGACTGGACCACTTTTTGGTTCATTACAACTTTCTTGGGAATTACTTCTTGAGAGCTGTGGTGGAATGATGGGGACCGGCAGGGAAATTTTAGTCTTGGCTTGCTTTATGCATCCCTTCTTCAGGGGTCCGAAGGTCCCGTGGGGGTCTTGGTGGCATGTGCCCTACCTGTGGCATACCATAGTTCCTAAGTAGCATGGACAGGCATCATAGGTCTAGAGCTGGGAGGGACCTCAGAGGCCATAGTCCAACTCCCCTATTATACAGATGAGCAGACTGAGTCTAGTGAGGTAAAGTGGCTTGCCCAATCTATTAGTAAAGGTCAGTGATGGGATTGGAACCCAGAGTCAGTACCTTTTATACTATACCATGCTTGCTGCAAATTATTGCTGGAGAATTTCATTTTAGTGTTTTTTTGTTTGTTTTGTTTTTGTGGGGTTGAGGGTGGGGTAGGTTGGAAGTCAGAGAAGATTGAACGACTTGGAAATAGGATGGGTTTCCAAGGTAGATGTGTCTGGAGTTCTTTTTTTGTGCCCCTCCTCCCCCCAAGAGATTAAGCAAGGGTTCCATACTTCCCCAAGCACAGAAGGGAGAAATACCATCTCTCAAGCTTGGTCTCCGATTTTGTGTTGTGGGCATTGCTTAGAAAATAAAATGAGTTGGTTTTACAACAAGAAAGAAAAAGAAAAGAAATGAATTTCATGTACAGATGAATTCTCCCCATGCTGAGTCTGGCATGATTTTTTCAGTATGTATTAAAAGTGGGGGAGTGAACTGACTGACTTCTAAGCCCAAGGGATGTGTGCTTGGGTCAGGTTTCACCTCTAGTCATGGGAAGCCCAGGAGGGGAGGGGTGGCCACAGCTGGTGTGGGTTCTAGCCAGTGTCTTAACACTCCCCACGGCTGAGTGTGATGACAGGCTTCCTTCCAGCAGGAAGCCGTTTGTATGGGCTAGCCTGCTGCTTTTCAGGGGGCTTCAACCTCTCTCATTATTGGGAGGGGCGAGGGAGAGGAGGAGGTCTGGGGAGGAAGATGGGTGTTCGTTAGCCCTTCCTTGGAATTTTACCTCCTTGCCACCCGCCCTTATCCCTCTATTTCTCCTCTTTCCTGCATCCCCCTTTCTGTATTTCAGCATTTTATTACATGCTTTCCCACTAGAATAGAAACTGGGGAGAGGTGTCGAGGATCTCAGGTGTTTTTCTCTATTGGAAGAAACCCGTAAGTTATCAAACGAGTTTTGTCTTACAATGGAAGGAGGACAGAAAGAAGGGAGGATCAATAGTTGACTCACCGGTGGCCTTTCCTTACTTGGAGGCTGTGGGATGGGGGCCAGTATTTGCTTCTTCATCCTCTCCTTTAGCAGAGCAAGTAGAGATGATTGTTGCCAACGAGGAAACCTCCTATTTACTCCTCTGTCTGCTGGTTGTTTCCTTTGCTCTTGGGAAATTAGAAGCAAAATGTCTCCGTTCTGCCTCTTGCCACGGGTCTCATTAAGGCTCTCTCTCTCTCTCTCTCTCTCTCTCTCTCTCTCTCTCTCTCTATATATATATATATATATATATATAGTCAGATAGCATTTGCGAAGTATCTTCTATGAGCCTAACAGAGGGTTAGCACAGTGCCCGGCACACAGTAGGTGCTTAATAAGTGCTTATTGATGGACTGCTAGAAACAAAGATAAAGCTTGTCCTCAGGGAGCTTGCATTTTGTTGGTCAGTAAGCATTTACTGAGTGCTTCCTATGGGAGGCATCCTGGCCTTGGGTTCAAATCCCATCCTCAAGTACTTATTAGCTGTGTGATCCAGAAAAAGTTCCTGAGGCTTCCTGCCTCAGTTTCCCCCAGATGGAGGGAAATTAAACCACACACCCTTCAAAGTCCCTTGCAGCCGTACTGTTGATGTACCTGGCATTATTCTCGGCCTTGGCAATGCAAAGACCAAAAATGAAAGGTTCCTGCCCTCCGGCGGGGGGGGGGGATTGTAATAGTTTTAATAGCTTACTTTTCTGTAGCACTAAAGATCTAGAAAGTGCTCTACTTCTGTTATGTCATTGAATCCTCAAAACAGCCCTGTGAATGAGTTGCTGTTTTTACCCCAATTTTACAGATGAGGGAAACTGAGGCCCAGGTTGGTAAAGTGACTTGGCCAGGGTTACATGGTAAGTATTAAAGACAGCCCTCGAACCCAGGTCTTCCTGAGTCTGGTTCTAGCACTCTGCACCATACCAAATTGTCCCTCAGTTTGCAAATATTAGACCTCAGTAGCAGGTGTGTCTCAGGATAGAGAGGATTCCAGAAAGTCTTTTCATGACTCCTTGGGTGTAAGTTTGTGACTTATGTCCTTATGCCCAGCCCTGTTTCTCTGTAGGGTACTGAGGAACCACCTTGGTGATGATGGGCTTAGCTGAGCCTCCTCTTATGAACTGACTTGCTCAAGGATTCATAACAAGTCGTTGACAGAGCTGGGCCTGAAATCTGGCTATCTTGACCCTCTCCCTCGCTGTCTGGAATCAGCCAGCATGGTGTAATGGAAGAATGACAGAATTTAGAATTGGGGGTCCTGGATTCAAATCCCAGCCTGGCCACTCATTCCCTGGCTGACTTGGGGCAGCTGGTTTGACCTCTGGGCCTGTATTTCCTCATCTGTAAAACCGGGAGAATTACAGTACCTGCCCTAGAGAGCTGACTCGAGGGTCCAGTGAGATAACCTGCTTTGTGTTGCCAGCGTTTGGGGGAGGAAGCACTTGGTAGAGTCTTGTTGGCTTATTGCGAACTTTAAAGCAGTATTTAAATGTGAGTTCTCATTATTATTATTTTTAATCATGTTAGTACACAGTGGAGAGAAGGGGGAAAGCAGATACTTAGAAAAGATAGAAAGAGTGCTTTGAGATCTCTGAGGAGGGTCTCTTCTCCCTGGGGGCCATCAGGGAAGGCTGGCGCTGAAGATGGATGTTAAGGGATGGTTGCCAAAGCCTTTTAGAACCACTCTATTTTATTTATTTATTTAAACCACAGAGACTTTTACATTTTTTTTTTCAGTTCTAAATTCTTCCCTTCCCCCCCATTGGAAGGCAAGGAAAACAAACTCCATTACAAATGTGTCATGCAAAGCAAATTTCCACAGTAGCCATGTTAAAAACGACGTGGCAAGACTGGCAGCAGAAAGTGAGCCCTCTTCAGGGTCCTGGCCATTGTTTGACGTGTCTGTTGGGGCCCCACATTTTAGGAAGGATGTTGACAGCCTGGCTTGGGTCTTACCAGGATGGTAAGGGATGGGAGAGCATGTTATAAGAAACCTGGGGAGGGTTAGTCTGCAGAATCAGGCGAGAAGCATTATTAAAACGTTATTAATCTAGATCACCGTGTGCCCAGCACTGTGCTAGCTGCTGGGAATAGAAGGGCCTCCAACAAGCCCATGTTGGCTTACGTAGAAGATCTCTCTACAGAGGAGGAGGGTGTAGCCTTAGGGGGAAGGGCCTGAGCGCTGAGAGACCTGGTTTGAGCTGAATCTTTAAAGGAAGACAGGGATTCTGTGAGGCAGAGCATTCCAGGCATGGAGACAGTCTTACAGAACATGGGAATGGTAGGGAGAGTGTCCCGGGTGAGGAGCAGTACCTAGGCTGGGGGGTGGGTTAGGACGTTATAGCCATTTTCTAGTCTTTAGGGGGCCTTGGGTCCCTCAGATTAACCTCATTGTTCTGGGAAAAATAACACTGCATTCTGGGCATTGTCTTTGAATGGGTATAGTCAAACCAGGAAAAGTGGATGAACTGTAGGCATGAAAATTTTGCTAGGCTGTCCCAAGGGATGTGGGAAGAGATGGCGTTTTGTAAAAGAAGGAAGCGAATCAGAATGGGAGGTGTGTGGGGGCCTAGGACTACGGACC